AATGTATGCCGATGATGTGAAACTTTTTAAAACATTGCCCTCTATCGAAGAAAGGTCTTTGTTACAAGCGGATCTGAACAACGTGGTTAGTTGGTGTAATACAAACTATATGCCACTAAACCTTCAAAAATGTAAAGTTATGTGTTTCTCTCGGAGGGCTGTTCAACCAGCTGTTTATTTAATATCAAATTATAATCTGGAGCAGGTATCCAATTTTGTCGATCTTGGTATCACAATGGATTCCAAACTCAATTCCAACCATCATATTAATGTTACAGTCAATAAAGCCAAAGGCGTTTTTGCATTTGTAAGGCGATGGTCAAAAGAGTTCAAAGATCCTTATGTTACAAAAGCTCTTTTTACCAGTTTAGTTAGACCTATACTAGAATACGGATCTATTGTTTGGAATCCCCGCTACCAAGTTCATTCAGAAAGGATTGAATCAATTCAAAAACAATTCTTGCTTTTTGCATTGCGTAATTTTAACTGGGATTCAGATTACAATCTCCCCCCTTACACAAGTCGTCTAAAGCTCATAAATTTGCCTACACTCGCAAGTCGTAGAGTAATGCTGGGTATAATATTTATCGTAAAATTAATGACAGGCTTGATTAATAGCCCGGCCCTCCTGGCTGAGGTAAATTTTAATGTTCCTTCTCGAGTGTCAAGACACTTTCGACCTCTATTTTTAAAGCCATGCAAAACTAATTTTGGACTAAACGAATCAATCCGTGGTTTGTGTCAAGATTTTAACTGTCATTCCAGCACGTTTGACGTATCGCACTCGATTTTTACTATAAAGAAAACTATTATTTCCACTCTCAATAATTGAAATACTATCTTTAGCATATCCAATCAGCTGATGAATTTGATTCTGTAGCTGAATAGTTTTAGATCTCGACACTTAACAAACTCCTGTTTCCACTACTCGGCACGAAAAAACTAAAACAAAAAAAAAAAGGTTCCGTACGTCATGCGGACTGCGCCCCTCGTGTCGGTTGGGCGGGAATGGAGGGTAAAAAGCCGTTGGGATTAATTAATTAATTAATTAATTAATTATTTGAACGCATAGCTCACGTTTTTCAATGGAGTTAACCCAAATTGTCCCAGATTAATTTTTTTTTGATTTTTTTGGTTTCATCTATATATAGGATAAAAGTAGCGTTAAAATAAAGGAAAAAATATGACTAAAACTTTGGGAGTAGTATAGTTCTCCCGATATCGGCCGTTGCCATATGGCAACACCTGGCAGATGGATTGTTAGAGGGCAGTATTTGGTTAAAATATGACATAATAGAAACATTGTTTATAAGTTTTAATACATTTATTGATAATATATACATTTCTACGTACAGAGCGGATGAAGAAGTTAATTTTTAGTATGAAGTAGCAAAACACTTCAAACATATACCACATCATATTTTGCACAGACTACTCGTCCTATAGTTTTACATGCTTCACCAGCACAACGAAGTTTTTTTGTCAATTTGGGTGTAGAAACCCCCGAGGCTAGGTAGCATCGATGTGTCAATTAAAGACCACACAAAGTATTTGGGAGTAGTTTTCGATAGTAAACAGCTGTGGATGCGCAATGTTGAAGAAAGATAGAAGAAGGCCAGTAACGCCCTTTATGCATGTAAAAGAATGTGGGAGTCACTTTGGGTTTGTCACCTGCTCTGATGCTGGAATGCCGCAAAAAAGTCCTTATACCTCGGGCCAATGTAGAAGGTTCAGCGCCTAGCGGCACTGTGCATCGCGGGAGCGCTGGGCTCCACTTCGACGGGTGCTCTTTAAAAAACCCTTAGTTTACCGCCAATTGGCCGATTTGCGGAAAATCGTTCTGCGAAATCCGCAGGTAGATTGACGGCCATAGAGAAATTCAATTTTAGAATCTGAACCGCTTAATTGGGCCGGGAAGCACAATCAGCACAGACTTCATGGCACCTAGCTTTAAGTGGAAACGAACTTTTTGCACAACGATTGAGGAGGAGGGATGGCGCAAGGGAATGAAACCTAGCCGTAGATACCTAAACATTTTCACGGACGGCTCTAAAATGGTTACGGTAGTGGTTGCCTGGATTTACTGCCGGGAACTGAACGTCAGGCGGACAGTAAGGCTACCTAACCATTGCAGCATATTTCAAGCAGAGGTTTTCGCAATGAGTATAAGTGCAGAATTAGCTCTCACCGAAACGACAATCAATTCAAAATTAAACCTATTCCAGGCGGCAATTAAGGCAGTTTCCTCATATAGTATTTTATCCATAAACGTCCTTCGCAGCCGGGAAGCCATTGACAACAGATAAACTACATTTGTATACCACTTCAACACTTGTACAATGAAATATACGATAATATGATTAGGCAGTTCAGGGCTAGATGGAATGCAAACTGCAAAAATACATACGAACGATTTTTGTTTTACACCGTCTCATACATGATGGTATTTTGCGTTGCCATATGGCAACACGGGGTCAATTTGCGCTAGCAAACATATCAAAACTTGGTAAAGAGAGGAACAGTTCACATTACGCCCCGTGTTGCCATATGGCAACGGACTTAAAAAACATTTAAGTTATATAGCATGCACGATTGTTTTTTATTGTTACTTGTTACCAATAGAGTCACTAATGTTTTAGCTAATAATTTATCATTGTCATATTTTGCAAATAAAAAAAAACGCTTTCTATAAATTCATGCTTACTTCTTCATATATGATATTTTGATCGAAAGACAGCAAGGATCTGATCGAAGCGTATGCGTTTCGAAACATATGCATTTTAGGAATTAGTTAACGTACATATAAGCATTTTGAAGTAAGCGGTTTTTGTTTTACACCCTCTTAAACATGATGTATTTTGCGTTGCCATATGGCAACACGGGGTCAATTTGGGTTAATTGATTTGGCGTGCACGTGTGAGTAACACTCTTTCCTGCCCATATTTCATACAAAAAAATCAGTGCGCATTTTCATTTGACCCTTCATGACATTTATTTATCTATCGATTTTCTTTGTTAGTAGCTAGATTTTATCATACAGCGTGCTGAGTTTGAATTTTTAATTTTTTTGGAGTGATTGTGATTAATAAATTTCTCAGAAACTAGACTATTTTTTGTCAACACCACGCGTTTATGGAATTCTATTCTAGCTGCTACTCGCTGCAGCTTAAACAAGGGCAACTTTAGGAATGTGTTGTTTTCGTACTTTCGTCAATAAGTTTTTGTGCTCTGAGCTTCGCTATCTGCTACATAAGGTTACGTTTTTCTCGTTGTGTTTTTATTTAGGTAATAATGTTAGTTTTAAGTCTTAGGATTAGTTGCATTTTTCTTTTATCTTTATTTTATTCTTAATTCTTTATTTTATTTATTTATTTATTTTTTATTTATTGTTTTTCTTTCGTTGCTTTATGTTTGTGCTTTATAGTTACTGTTGTACTATAAAAGAGCTTTTAGATCCTATTGTACTAATTAACTTCTTTAATAAATTAAAAATGGAATAAACCAGGCCCATCGAAAAGCGATGTGCAATACCGTTTACTTTTCATTTGCTAACTGCGTAAATTACAAAAATTTCGAAAACCACAGGTATATAAATTTACTCGAATTTGAGATGTAGCGCGCAGCTCAACATTGAAATTTTATATTGGCATCCGGTGCACAAAACAAAAATTAAAATTTGTGATCCAGTGAAATCATTGATTTATAGATTTTTACCCCTTTAGAGAAATTCCTGGCATTTTTATCAATTTTGTGTAGGAGTAATAAGAAATAAATTTCTCCCATATGGTTCAGATCCAGAAGGCAAATACGAAAATAAGTCTCTTTTGAGGCAAGGATATGTAACTTCATTATTCCACAGATTAATAATATTTAACTGCAAGTCGTTAAGGTTTATGGTGGAAAAAAATCAAATAATGATCTTCTAAGCTCCTTGTGGCACATATTAATGTTTGTACATATCGCCAATCATAACTCACAATTTCGTATGTATCATCAAAAACAAATTCATTCCAAAGGAGAAATTTGCTACGGGTTTGTAGCTTTGTCGCAGATATTGTAAAATATTTTAAGGTTTTCAGGCATTTAATCTGAAAGTTACCAAATGAGATAGGAAGTTACCACATTTTACCAATGTAGCAACCGTGCTCAGAAACAGCTTCCCAAAAAACAATCAGCTTTCAGGCGGCGAATATCTTTACATCCCTAGATCTCTAATATAAATACATATGTATATAGCAGGTGCAGTTAGGGTTGCCAACCATACTATAGTATATAGTATTGTACTATTTTTTGGGTCTGCGTACTATATGTATGTATACTGTTGGAAAAAAATATAATATGCAAAAATATTATATTTCTTCAACTATAAATATAAATATATTTCAGTCATTTGTAAGAAAGAAATGTTTTAAAATGCATGACATTTATACTGAAATATCAATATTAAAATAAATATACTTTAAAACAAAGGGTCCACAGATAAAAAATGGCAACATTTACAAAAATAGTTAGAAAGATTTACCAAATTTACCTAAAATTATTTCGCTTATGCTCTCTATTCCCGCAACTTCAGCATTCACAGAAAGAGTTTTTTCTATTAAGATTTTGAAATGGTGAGATGAGAGAAATAAAGCGAATATCTCACTAATAAAAAATAAACTTTTGATTTATATTAATTTAAATATTGATAGCGATAAAGGATATGATACTTTCAAAGTAATATATTTTTTTATAGGGGAAATGCATAAGAGAGAAAAAAGATGTACACTTAAAAATAATTTTTACTTTTTCTTAAAAAAAAATACTATATATATTTGAAATGTACTATATTTTTGCAGATTTTTTTGAAAAAGTACTATAAATTTCTTAGAAAATGTTGGCAACCCTAGGTGCAGTCTCCTACATACATACATACATACATTCCTACATAAGACCTCAAAACAATTTATTGAAACTTTAGCAAAATTTTAGAACTAATATAACGTTATTTTTTTTTAAAGGTGTCTTGGATGCGTCGCAAAGGTGATGACTTAGCCCTGATAACATTCGGTCGCCATACGTATAGTAGCGATTCGCGGTATTCCTTGGAGTTTGAAGAGCCAAACGACTGGAAGCTTTCGATACAATACACGAATGAACATGACGAAGGGCCGTACGAGTGCCAAGTCTCTTCACATCCGCCTTTAGTATTGTTAGTATATTTAACTGTAATTGGTAAGTTGTAACTAAGAATGTATGCATGTGCATAGAACATGAACGGGTGTACCCCCGACAAAAATTAATTTTAAAAAAATCAAACAAAAAACTCCTTAATCTTCCACGTTTCCATAAATGCACTAAAAAGTAGAATATGTTTCCTTAACTCAAAGAATTTATCTTGATACGTTTTTCGTGTAATAATCCCAACGGTTTTACCCTCTTTTCCCGCCCATCCGCACGAGGGGCGCAGTCCGCATGACGTACGGAACCATTATTTTCAATTTTTGCGCCGAGTCACGAAAAGCAGGAGTTTGTTAAGTGTCGAGATCTAAAACTATTCAACTACGGAACCAAATTCATTAGCTAATTATTATGTATTTATGTTAGTCAATCATTTATTGAGAGAGGATAGTATCGCTTTCTTAATGCTGAAAAGCGAATCAGATATGTATACCCAATAAAAATATGAATTGGAAAATCTACATCTTATTCAAATCTACCACATATTTTTGCCGATTCTACCACACTAAAGTAAAAAGGGGTCTGCACACTGATAACATATGTGTAAGCGCCAGTCTATTATTATTATTATAAAAATGAAAATACTTGGGGTATTCACAATGGTGAATCCCTTAATTGTTTTTCTTAAGCTAAGTAAGTGTACAGTGTACACGGTAGAGAAATTAAGTTTACACCATAGAGCAACTCTAGGAGATATTCATTCTAGCTAGAGTCAAAACAGAGACCTCAACATTTTTCTATCACGTACTCTACAAGCTGTGTACACGGCAGATAATTATTAGGTTCTTTCCCTAACAATCCCGACCGGATCCGGTAATTAGAGAATAAGCGATAATTAGAGAATTCGCTCTCAAAAATGGAACATAATCCAGAAGTACGGGAACGCAAAAAACCACATTTCGTGCCCAGAATTTGTGAAACAGCTAGTGATGTGCTGAATTTTCGGTATCCAATACTCGGTACCCAATACTTAAAAAAGATTTCGGTGCCCAATACTTCCTTTTCGGTACCCGATACCGAGTCTTTACATTAAACCTTCGCCATTATATGCATTTCAAGTTTAGAAAAAACTCTAATTACTAATTTATATGATATCGGCTAAAACACTTGAACTTATCGCAACAGAGAAATATTATTTTATCAGTTTTAATCTTAGTTGATCCAAGGTTCAAGAAAAATGCTTTTACGGATGAAGAAGCCTTTCAGGGGGGAGATTCTGTAACCAGTTAGCGACAAGTTTCGGATCGATATCGCACTTGTTGACGTAAAAATATTTCATATCATACCGATGCTGATTCGAAAATTGTCGCTAACTGGTTACAGAATCTGCCCCCAGGCCTACAAAAATGATATCGTCAGATTCAGCTGGAACAAAAATGCTTCAAACAAGTAAGAGTTTCTCTGCATTATGGCCTCGAACCGACATATATACATCTTTCATTTGAATCAGTATTAAAAGCTCTATTGGCTCCTACATTCGGATTTTTATAGGCGAGTCCCCCCTGAACCTTTTTTTCCATATTTTTGGCCTATGTGTGCTTTTATTCGAAACATAAATGTTTCGGTACCGAGTATCGAGAATATTGGATACTTTTTAAATCGGTACCGAATATCGATCAATACTAAAAAGTATTGACTCAGCACATCACTAGAAACAGGCAACATGTAAACACAAATCAGCTGATATGCACTTTGACGCTTTATCCATTTTTACCCGGAGAAAAAGTCCGGGCTGTTTTGGGCAGGAAGAAGAAGACACTTAATCCAATACGTTCCAATTTTCGCTCTCTATTACCCATTTTGTTGAGTACGGGAATGATTTCTGGGCTATTTTGGGCACCCGAGGGATCCCGCGTTGCGTACGGGAAAGAACCTATTATCTCTCGCTTATAGAAAACTAACCTATCTCGAATTGTTGTCAACACTTGTTGTATGTACATATGTATGTATTTAAGAGCCACGATGTAGAAAATAATGGTTGCGCCATCAGCGGACTGCTAACCTTTCGTCGATTTGACATCATTCACCTATTAGCGGACGTCATGAAATACTTTTTCGCACTAGGGATTTACAAGTTGTACTAATTTCCCGATTAAATTTTACCTAAAAGTAGATAAGTGTACCTATAAATTAAACATGTATTTTTATGTGTTTAAATGTTTAATAGTGGGTGGCAACCTCGGTGCGTTTTCGTATTTTTCTCATTGGGAGCAAATGTTAGCTTACCTACTCTCCGAAATTTTGTTACTGGCAAGTTACTGGATAGTTTCTTATTTACTGGAAAATCCGAAGACAGAGCTGCTTTCATAAACTAGTTAAAATCCGATTACTTATCTCAGAAAAATGAACAAATCATTGCTCTATGGATTTTAAAATAATGGTTATTTTATAGAAAAAATGGTACTCGTTTATTCGACCTCTTGCATAGAAATTTGCTTGACTTTTATTTATTTTATAGAAAAAATGGTACTTGTTTATTTGCCCTCTTGCATAGAAATTTGCTTGACTTTTATTTTGTTTTCACTTTCCTAAAAGTTCCTCATGTGGAAATACTCGATGAACGAGACTCAGCCACTCCAGAAAAATATTATAAAGCTGGAAGCACTATCGAATTAAAATGTGTAATTTCCAAAATACCACAGCCATCATCTTATATCACGTGGCGGCACGGTACCCGAATGTTAAACTATGACACTAGTCGAGGAGGAATCAGGTAAGACAACACAATTTATGTGGTCAAAGCAATAATGGCTAAGGCCAGGAGATCGCTATTAGAATAAAAATTACCTTGTCAACTTTATTGTGGCTTATTAACATTTTATTTAATAGTAGCACGATTATGTTTATTAATAAAATTGAAAAAGTAACAAAGTCTAAGCGGTAGAAGTTATAGCTGCTGTTTTGGAGATCACCCCACGTTTTTAATTTTAAATCTCATAAATTGTTTATAATGACTATTCAAGGCACATCAAACAGGTAGTAGCATTAAAGCAAAAACAACATTTGCGTGTATTTTGTTATTGCTTCTGGTATCGAAAACGTCAAAAACTGTTCTGATTTTTTTCCTAAATCACAGCGTGCTATGTGAAACACAAAAAAATAAAAAATAAAAAATTGAATTTGGAAAAAATAAAAATTGTTGCAACTTTCTTTCTTAGTAAATTTGTTTGCTTTTCGAAGCATTGATCCATCCATCCTTTGCCAGGCCCAGCAATCAGCGGTTGTGCTGTTGAGTTGGGCGAACGTTCCAAAAGGTGCTATTCATTCGCTTGTTTTGTATGGAGAAAGGTCTCGCATACAAGCAGATTTTAACAATTTATAATTTTTGTGAGAAAAATTAAAAATGTTTGACTTTTCGAGACCAAATAATTTGAAACAAATCAAATCGGCTTCTCTACTGATACTACTTGTTCAATGTGCCTTGTGACCTTCGTACAGTTCCATAAGTAAAGTAACTCTTCTTACCGTTTTTTCTGGCGGGCTGTAGGTGTGTGTTTGGCAGGCTGTAGGTGTGTTTTTGGTTAGTGTATTGGTGTTTTTGGTTCAGTGTTTTACTTATGAAACTGTACGATGCGTGTGACTATTGTAAAAATTTTAAAATCAAAACTTATCAAGTCAAATTCTGTAAGTCTAGAAAAATTATTTTCTACGTTATAGCCGATTTCACCAGCAGTTTAAACGGAAAATGATTTTTTCTTTTCTGTCAATTTCCATATAAATTTAAAAAAATTTAGATAATTTTTCACTTAAGTTGCTTTCGTGAAATTGGATACATGTACGTAGTAAATTAAAAATTATTTTTTTTTTTGCTTTTGGATGGGTAAAGTAAAGTCGGAATTTGTATGCTCTCACACCCTAGGATTCTTCTATACCGAAGAAAGTATGCCCCTATTTTTTTATTTTCAAATTAGAAAATATTTAGAGGTCGCTCAAAGCGCTAAAAGTTTTCCATGTATTTTATATGGGGGAAAAACAACTTTTCGTAGAAATGGCGTAGAATTCTTAAAAATCAATATTTTTCATAGTAACTATAATTTATAGGTCCGCCAAAAACCTCCAAAAACCCCGAAAAATGCAATGGGGGGGGGGGGGGGGGGCGGGGGAGTAAAAAAAATCTTTAGTATTAAAAAATGGTTAAATAAACAATTGGGTCTTACTATTGAAAGTCTCCTGAAGATAATCTGAGTTTTCCGATCGAAAAATATTGGTTTTCAAGAATTCTATGCCCTTTCTACGAAAATTGGTTTTTTTGCTTTGAATGACCTCTAAATATTTTATGATTTAAAAAAAAAAAAGGTATACTTTTTTCGATATAGAACAATCCTATAGAGCAATCCTAGCATTTAAATTCTGACTGGGGTTGATTTGAGGTTAGGAGATGATTGTAGAATATGATAAATTAAAATATCTGCGAGCAACTAAATATGCTGTTTGTAGAACTCCGATATGTTATCGAGAACCGAAGATATAGCAGTAGTCTGCTTGGTTAAGACTTAACTAACACGTAATGAGCAACTAAATCAAGAATAGTGTAACGAAGTAGCAACTAAATACCCAATAGGTTAGAGTTGTGTGTGGCCATGATCTGCTAGATTAATACACGTGTGAGAGAGCTACCTCTGTTTAGTTACACTTTAAACGACTCAGGTAGTTCATTCCAAAGTCGCACAGCGTTGACGAAAAACAGTCTGGATGAGGTCAGTGAGGTATGTTTAGGGACAATAAGGTTGTTATGTCGGCGTGACACTGGTCGTATGAGCTTGTCGCAGAGATATTTAGGGGACTTCCACTCGAGTAACTTATACACAAACATACAATTTCTTGCAGCGAGGTAATTGAAAATACTGCAACCCAGGATCGCATTTTTCCATGGAGTGATGTGATCATACTTTCTAATCCCGTAGACATAGGGTGTAACACTATTAAATGCTACCTCAATTTTATGTGGTGCCACCGAGTCTAGCTTGCTATATACGAGCTCGGAGTAAGCTATCAGTGGAACAATGAGCTGTATGGCCAAATTACGTTTAATTTCTATTGGGGTAAATGGCGCAGATATTCTTAAACTGCGTAAGGCTTTCTGCACATTGGTCGTCCAATCATAGTTGCTTCATCGTCACAATCATGATGCAACGATTACATAACGACTACACTTTCGCACACGCGGTCGTGATATTTCAATTCATTTGGCTTCTAAAAATTAACTTTTTCACTAACTTTTCCCCATAAAATGTCTCTGCCGTTCTTTGGGTCCCGGCACCCCGCTGCAATGCAACTCCACATCGAACCCTTGCAAGTTCTCGCGCATTCGGGTATTAAACCACAACCCCCACGATACTGCCCGAAGGGCCGTACCTCACTGAACAGACTGGAGTACTACTCGCCAGCCAGACTTGCTTGGCCAGCTCGAGTCACGCAACCTACTAAACATACCAGAATACACATGCTTAACCCCACAAGTAGTAAGATCTGCTTTTTACTTCCACGCATTCACCAATTTCCACGGTTTACTACAAAATTTACACCGTGTTTTACAACATTTTCAACGTTACTCCATGTATCCAACAGTTTTCAACATTTTTCAACATTTTCTTCCAGCTCGGCTCGCTCCTCTCACAAGACTTACTGATCTCGTTCCACCCCCGGCTATCCCTCCCGGAGTGAAAATCCACTTTAAACCCTTGTTCGAGTCACTTGACTCACCTCGTCCATTCTGCTCGTCTCGCTAACCTCACAGGTCTTACTGGCCATACTTGGGAGCACTTTCCAGCCCGGGTGGACAATAGGCATGGAATTGCTCCTTTCCGGTTTTCTACACCCGCTCGAGTAGCTTGACGAGCCACATCCTTCCTTGCAAATCTTTCCAGCTGTACGATCTTACATGTGCATCTGGGCTGTCTTTTGGCCTTGTTCGTCTCACTGGATTTGCTTATCTAGCCAACGAACACACTCCAGGGGCATCTGTTCGCCCGCGGTACCTTTTTTAAAGTCTTTGGTATGACTTTCGAAAGCCGAAGACTCTTCTTCTGATTGAGCCCCCAACCGACTCAGGATTGGTAGCATTTGACTGGGGTAGCTTGACAAGTACAGTTGGATATCGTCGGCGTATGCATGCACATTCACATAACGACACACAGAAAAAGACCAAACAACAGAGGGCATATGATAGATCCTTGTGGAACACCAGGGGTAATCGCCCTACACTGAGAATAAGCTTTCTCTGCCTTTACTCTTTGAGTTCTTCCTTTTAAATAGCTGGTCATAATTTTCACAGAACTATCAGCAAAGCCATAAAGTTGTCTATGTTTTTCACACAGAAGGTCATGATTTACCATGTCCAAAGCCTTGAAAAAATCTAAAAGGCAAAGAAGAGTTAAGTTTCCTTGGTCAACCTGTGTTCTAATATCATCAAGTACTTTTAGCATAGCTGTGCAGCAACTGTGTTGGGATTTCTGACTGCCAGGGTGATAGGAATTCATTTTTCTGAAGGCAAGATACTTATTGGTCTATAATCGCATGGATCTATTGCAATTGCTTTTTAAGCTACAGGTAGAATAATCGCTCTTTTCCACGCAGAAGGAAACGGAGCACTTGTAAAACAAAAGTTTATGATGTGGGTAAGAGTGCTTATAATATATGGTAAGGTAATTTTTATGAATTTTAACGAGAATCTATCTTCTCCTATGGCGTTTGACTTTATTTTCGTAATAGATTTCAGCACTTCTATTTCACTTACTCCTTCAAACTGGAACTCTTTTTCGAAACAAGATTGATTCCGAGTAGCATCCGTTAACGGAGGGGGTCAAAAGCATTACTGGCATTAACAAAGAAATCGTTTATTATATCAGGATCAATAATACAGTTTGATTTCACTTTCCCATGTACATTACGTTTTTTGATGTTGCAACATAGATCTTTGGATGGAAGCAACGGATTTAATTTAGTGTTGAAGTACAAACGCTTCGCCTTTCTTATGATATCAGTAGCATAAACACTACTCCGGGCTACTTTGTATTGGCACCAATACAAGTCAGTATTATTTCGTCTCCATTTAGCAGGCAGTTTGTTTCGTATTGCAGAGCGGACCTCCTTAGTATACCATGGGCAAGATGAATTTACAGCACGAATAATACGTAGAGAGACATGAAGATAAAACAACGAAATCAAATTATTATTTAAAAAGTCCAGTTTACCATCAACTGTCTGAAGACATCGCACATCATTCCAATTATAAAACAAAGCACTGGTATTTAAAGAGTTTAGATCACGATACATTAAAGATACATTAACTGGTGGATGACTTAAATCCAAATCTACCGAACAGAAAATTAAATCATGATCGGAGATAAACGTCATTTGGTCAAATTTCAAAATATAGGCCAAATTGAAGGTAAGAAAAAGGTCTAGCAGACCAGGGTTAGAATTATTGGAATACCTCGTCGGCATACTATTATTAACTATCTCAAGATCTGCAGCAGAGGCATTGTCGAGGAGTTTCGCTGTGTGTAAGTCATCCAGCAACAGCCCAGCCAGCAAAATCGTCGTAAACAAGCTCGTAATTGGATATTTTCTCGAAGAAAAACCGGATTAAAAATCGTTTATGATAGCCGTTTACGACTCTTTTTCGAGCACTTTTTCGCTTTAAATTGTGCATCGTCTACGAACAGTCGTAAACGGATCGAAAAAGCATTCGTATGCGAATATTTTTTACGT